GAATGCCAGGAGATCAGCTGGTTTGACTGTACACACAACTCCTTAGAACTAATATGTGGGAATAAAAGTATAGTCGACAGATCATCCATATAAATCATATATACAAACTAGACACTGGTGAAAAATTTGGTTGAGTCAAATTAAATCCGAAGAAAGATAAAACGATTTCAGCTAATAATTTCTAAGAACAGACTTAGGTAGAAAAATAAAAAGACGCCATTAAAACAATAGGTTCCTGTCTATGTGACAAAATAAAATTCAACGGTGTGTAATAGGTAGGAATAAAATTACAATCCATCTTCACTAACGACCCATTGTTGTGCATAAATGGCTGCTATATTTATGACGGCAAGAAAAGAAGTGATAAAATATGACTAGCATCCAGAAGTATAATAGAATGGGAAGTATTAATTCGGGAAAACCATTACTTTAGTATTAAGTGAGAAATTACATACAATGTTTAAAAAATTCTGGTAGTTAGTCTTGCAATAAAAATTTAACGCAGACAACCTTAAACCACTGCGAAGACCTTCAAGAAGAAGGAGGTTTTAATACTTATAACGATTATAACGATTCCAATAAATGATATTTTAGACGGTCGGCAGCAGACCAGATAAAACGACTAAAGTGAAAAAGATTATCTAGAATGCATGAAATATGATTCTAATCAATTAACTTAAAAACTTAAGATATTTTTTTTGCTTGTATATGCAATGCAATTAAAATGGAAAGCTATGGAAAGGAATCTTCTAATACAAAACACAATTAACTCCCGCACTGTGTTAACTCTAATTAATCCCGCAACTCTAATTCGGTTGATAATAGGAAAAGTTTCCCAGTTTCAAGTATGTTTATACTTAAGTGGGCATTTTTTGACCAGCCAGTGCCAAACTCTGCAGATGTGGTTTGAGAAGTACCCTGCGCAGACTTAACATTCACAAAGGAAGCTAACTAAAGATTTCCTCTTTTCTGTCTTGCCGACTGTTTCTTAATCTATATTTAATCACTTGAATAGTATATATTTAAAATTTTCATTTGTAGTATTTTAATTTATTCTTCAGGTCCTGCAGTAAAAGCATAATACATAAGTGTTAATTCTATGTACCGTCAGAATACCGCACTGTTTCTGTGGTTCTGCTGTTTTGACGTATGTTATTTCTTCAGTCCTCTGATTTGCCTGTTTCATCGGATTCGCCACTTACACAATTTCTAAATATAGTTTTCATATATACTTATGTATTTGCAATATATAAGGTTGTTCAATAAGTCCGCGGAGCGCCATCTATTCGTCAATATTAGACCTAAAATTACGACGCCATTTTCATATTTGTTCTTTCTTAGGAACACGTCAAAAGTTTCATTTCTATCTGTTAATTTATTCATTGTTTAACCGCCCTTTATATCTAACGTGTTGTGGCTTTTTTCAGGTATGGATAAAATTGAGCAAAGTGCAGTTATCAAATTCTTTGTAAAGAAAGGTTTAAAGGCAATGGAAATTCATATACAGAAATGGGTGAATGTGTTGGGTGAATCTGCTCCTTCAAAAAAAATGGTTTGCAAGCGAGCTAGTTTATTCAAAAGTGGTCGTACCAGCCTTGAAGACGATCCGCGAGAGGGACGTCCAAAAACTGCATCAACACCGGAAATCATCGGAAAAATAAAAGATATGGTATTGGAAGACCGTCGATTGACTGAAAGAGATTTAGCAGAGGCTTTAGGCATTTCATTGGGCAGAATGAGCAATATTTTGAGTCTTAATTTGGGTTTCAAAAACTCTGTGCAAAATGGGTGCCGCATTCTCTAACGATGGAGCAAAAACACATTCGGATGCGACATTGCCAGCAACACTTCGAGCGTTTTAAGAAGATTAAAAGCGACTTTATCCGTCGATTTATCATAATGGATGAGACTTCGGTTTACCATCATGATCCTGAATGAAAACAGGAGGCTAAGGAGGGGTGTGAGCCCGGCTCTTCGGCGCCGAAGCGAGTTCGTGTGCAAAAATCAGCCAAGAAGGTGTTAGCATCAGTTTTTTGGATGCGAAAGGAATTTTGTTTCTAGATTACCTTCAAACTGGCGAAACAATTAATTCGGATTATTATTGTAACCTTTTGAATCAATTAGACGAAAACATTCGTGAAAGAAGACCCGGATTACAGAAGAAGAAAATCATTTTCTACCAAGATAACGCACCTGCGCACACAGCTCAAAAAACATTGTTAAAATAACTGAATTGAAGTACGAATTGTTGCAACATCCAGCCTATTCACCAGATTTAGCTCCCTCCGACTTCTGGCTCTTCCCACACCTCAAACAATATCTCCGTAGAAAACGATTTTCTTCAAACGAAGAGGTAATAGCTGCCGTGGAGGGGTATTTTGCAGAGCTGCCGAAAAACCACTACAGTCAAGGGATCCATAAATTAGAAGACCGTTGGAATAAGTGTATTGAAGTTGAGGGAAACTACGTTGAAAAATAAAGTCATTTTTACAAATAAAAATTGGTTCCTTTATTTCCGTTCCGCGAACTTATTGAACAACCTCATACTTATAAATTCTCATATATATTTGTAAATTTACAGTATATACTTATACAGTGTATACCTATATAGTATTATATAAGTATATAGGGTACATAAATACTACATATACTTATGTAGTTTCTATGTAAAATTTTAGAAATTTTTCTTTTAATTTACTATATTTTTGTAATTTATATGTTTTAATTTTACTTTGTCTATTTTGCCCAAAGGGACATTGTCCCTGAAGGACTATTTTATTCGTTTTGCGATTTTGAGTTGAATCACTATAAATGTCCGTTCCACTTTTCAAACTGTTGCTATCAAATATTAGGAGTCCTGCATTATATTTGAAGAAATTAAATAATGAAAAATGAAAAATGCATAAATGTATATTTCAATTTCAGCATTGTGATGATAAAACAACGGTACATAAAGCCATCGAATTTTGAATGACGTAATCCTCCTACGAATATGGGCATGTGGAAGAGCCGAAATTTGAAATTTGAAATTATCGTTTTTTATTTTTCACCACATCGGTGTAAAGTTTGTAAGGCCACCAGCGGCCGAGCGGTAAAGTCGCCTGAAAGTTCGGTCCGAGGTTCGAATCCCGCGAACGGGCTGGCTGCATGGGCGTTCTCGTCGTTTTCCCCATGTGTAACGAGTATACGAGCCAGTTTCCCTTAGAAAGTCCTCCACGAAAGGCATCCCTCCCCTTAGGCAGATAGCCCTAGTGTGCTTTGCCATAATTAAATACACACATATTTTGTAAAACTTGAACGAATTTTTGAGTAACAAACTCAACGATTTAAAAGCGAGCAATGGCAAAACTCTACGGGAAAAAAAAAGCCTTTTTATCTCCAACGTGCAGAACTGTGTATCGGAAATTCTAAAGATAGGTTCATTTTAAAATTATTTTGCGACATTGCTATTGAACTCAATTTTATGGTTTAAGTGCGAAGAACACGATATTTAATAAATAAAGGTAACACAAAAAACGTCCCTTTGAAAGTAATTTAAAATCTGAAATCTTTCAGATTTTTACAACTGTAATTTTAATTCAAACAGTGAGGGTAACATGCCGAGAAAGCTCTTCAACAATGTAAGACTACCGAGAAGTAATTCTTCTAAAAGTGTAACCCCACGGCTCAACGAGCGCCACCTAGCGGGCGCCGGAATAAATACCAGCCAAATAAAGACTCTAGCCTTCAGTCGATGTGCGGAAGTCATGAACTTTGCGTGCTGTTTCCCCGAGATGTTGTTCCCCGAGATTTAATTTGTAACTTAAATGTGTAATTATAACGCCTTTAATTGTAATGTTTTATCTTATTTGTGTTTTGTTAATTAAAACTATTTAAAAAGGCCAAGTGAGTCTTTTACTTATGTTAGTTTTGGTTATAAAAGGAAATTAGTTTACAAATGTTTAGAGTCTTACAGTATCGAGAGGAACTAAACAAGATATTCAGCGCTCATTAATCAGCTTGAGTTAACGTTTTAAATATTTGCCCTTTATCAAGTTCTGTTTGAAACAGTAGATAGGGGTGATTAATTTATTATTTTTTCGCAGCTTCTTTAATTTCAATGCTTTTCCCGTATTGACTACTATAAATTTTCACTTTTACTTTTAAGGCATCTTAAATGTTCCCCACTATACAACTTTTTCCTCAGCTAGATTAATCAAAATTTCTCTTCCTTTTGAACTCAATCTTACATAGTTCTGACATATATGTGATATTTTAATGCGCAGTAATTTGAGAGAATATATGAATTTAGAGGGGAAAACATAAGTCTAGAATCCTTAACTTGAGGTAGCCAATTATTCTTAAAGCAGCCATCGCATTTTTGTTATATCTTACATAAAATACAAATTTAACGAGCTACTTTTGACCGAATAATTAGGAAGTTAAAAGACTTTGTGATGAAATGTTCTTTGAACTAGCTCTCTGCTATTTCTTTTCCACGCATGGGTCACATCAGTTAAGCTTGCTATTTTATCTACGGGTTTCTGAACACGGTCGAATTTACAGCATTAACCCTTGAAATTGGTATTCGTTCGTATCATATATACCAGGAAAAAAATTACACATTTATAACATTAGTTCTTTCATATCATTTATAATAGCAAAATACTGCCAAGCTGAACTAAACTTCTCACGTTAGGATTACTTTTGGGTTTTATTTTTTACCATGCAGAATATCAAGCAGTTACTTTTCATGCACTAAACCATACTACTGATGGCAATCATTATCTCTCGAATAGCAAACAGAGCTCTCGTTTCGTATCTCTTGATTAATGTTCATATCTTGATAACATTAATTGCTATTTCATTGCATTTGAGGAATTTACTGAGACAGCGCCATTTCGAACTGATTAGTCTCGTTATTGTGTCATTCGAAACATTTCAATCTCGCTGCAACTCTGGATACAAGGTATTACATGTCAACTCGAGAAACATCTATGTATTCAGAATAATTTCGTTACCTGAAGGGATGTGGACGCTTGCAAAGAATGAAATCTGCACCATAAATAGGGTTTAATATACCTGGAAAAAAGGGTAAAATTAAAAATTCAGAAGTCACGTACCTTCTGCGTTTTATAACATATAATTTTGTTGTAAAAGTACACTATATTTACTTCCAAAAACAATCTAAAAATGTTACAAATGACTACTTACAAATTTTCTCATTTCATATTATTTTATTTCACTCTGCCGATTAAGCTAGATTTTGCTGTACATCCTGGGATTTTATACTTTATGAAAACGTCCAGTTAGAGATTTTTCATCCTTAGCAAATATTTGTTTTTTTTCCCCTGCAATATGTTTTCCATTGTGTCTTTTTGATGGTCATCTTTAAGTTTTCTTTAAAATCACCATTAAAAAGCCTTAAAAAGCACAGTAAGGTCAACTTAGCCGTATCCCATTATCGGTGTTCATTCCCGGTGTTGGCCTTCAGTGACAAATTTCGAAGACCGTCAAAATTGCGGAAGGTCCATTAGATTTAGATTGTAGCCTAGCGCAATGGACTAGTTTAATTGGTTTATATGATTTTTGTACAGCACACTAGGGCTATCTGTCTAAGCGGAAAGCTATTTAAAGAAGGTATAGAGAAAGATTCCCCAGTACCCTTCTGAGCAGTTGCTGCGTTTTTATTTACCGCTTATAAGCAACCTTGTACCACTCCAAAACGCCATTTCGGCGCACATATTTCATTACAAAATTTCCTTAGTTTGTCTACCAGCCTTTACATTTTTGACAATGTAAAGGCATTTTATTTATTTATTTATTTTTTGATATTTTTTAATTAGCCTGCGTATACTACATGTACAGTATAAATTTTAGTGAATGATGAACTTCAATTTTTGTTGACAGCAATGCGTTCTTTTCGCATTCTCTTTATTTTTTATAGCAACTAAAGAATATAAAATACTTCAACATAAAAAACTGATATTTAATCAGCGCTATTGTTTTAATACGCTTTACTAGATTGTATTTAAAATTTTCTTTGGCAGAAATTTGGAAGAAACATTCTTCATAACATCCATCTATCTGTTGATGGTGATAATAATACACACATTAAAAAATATACAACTTCTGTAACACACGGGAGAGTAAAGAAAAAAAGGAGGGAATTATCTAGGTACATTTAGTTTTATTTCTTATTTAGCCTTAACTTCAAAAAGTGGTAAGAGCGTGCGTTAAATCCCGGGACAGCGCTAGGCATTTTGAAGCCCGGTGCAATCTTTGAGGGTCCTAAATTCTGCTGCCCGGTGCTTCCATAAATTCTAAAAATTTTGACGCAATTAATCTGTAACCAGTGCGTTCCCTAAATTCTAAAAATTTCGCCGTCCCTAAATTTTGTTGGCACATAATTCTAAAATTTTTGTTTCCCTAAATTCTGGCACCCAGTGCAACGAGTTCCATCGGTTGTACCAGCTCTGGCGCCGGCCCTGCTTAAATACAATAAACGTCTTTATGCTCCAGTGTTTTCCCTCATATATATTGGCGTCATAATGGTTTTGACTACACAAATCATTCAAATGCATCCCAAAATTACCAACTTCTACAACTATTTTCTGACTAAGTTTTGTATTTAAGAAATCGAATATACCCCTAATTTTTCTCAAAGAAAGCTTCTCTTGATCCCCTCGCATGTTACTCACTGAAGAAGTGATATATTCATTTGTCAACTAATAGGATAAAATTTGAACACTGTCTACAGTAAACTCCTGAGATAACATCGAATTACCTGTTAATTTTAACCCTTTTGTACCTTTTAAGATGAGCGTAGGAAGAAATGGTATCCCGTTATTAAGTTACAGGCCGACTGTTGATTATTTGCGTGACAACCTGCGAGTCAGGAAAAATCTTTGTAATTTTGCATTGAGGAAATTCAATAGAATAATAAAAAAGAGAACAATTTTTGGACGTTTTTACTAGTAAATATCATCATAGGTGAAAAGGTACTTCATTAATATATATATGCATATATATGCTTGTGTGTCTATAGATGTCAAGCAGCTTCTACGTAATAATTTTTTGTAAACAATTATATATCTTGCAAAGTATCAAAGAGTTAAAAATAAAGGGGCAAAATCAATCCCTTAAAAATATTGATAATTTTCAATAGCTGCAAATTTTAATAATTATTTAGACCATTACTACAGTTATGAATTTTTAATGTCAAACTCCTTTGTATTTGCATCAAATTACTTTGCTATTAAAATATAAAATATTTCCGGCATAAAATGGCATGGCTAATAGCCTAATGTTATGATATTAATTAAACTCCTTATTTGCGCATTATACAATGTTTCTATAACCATTTGAAATTTCATAGCGTGAAGTGATGTGATACCATTAAAAAAGTTATTTATTTATACAAATCACATGCAAAACAGAGATTTATGTAAAATACGAATAGTGACGTAGACAGATATTTTATACTGAATAAACGAAAGAATAATGAAGTTATGCATTTCAAAAAAAGGCAGAGAGATTTAAGATAAACAAAAGTCCACTAACAACGGCTGATAGAATGAGAAAAGACACTTAAAAAGGAAAAGCAAAATAAAACCAACACTTAGAAATATTCAACATCCAAACTGCCAAATTATCACAAATGCATTAGCTTTTTAAGTTTCACTAAAAATGCAAACACACGGGGCAGCAGACACACTATTGACAAAATCATGTTGGCCTTCGCAATAACAAAACTGCACTTTCTTCAGAAAAGAGGCAGCAGACATTTTATTTGAAAGAAAGTAAAATACTGCATTGAGGAGAAGTAGAAAGAAAAATTGAGAAGTTGAAAGAGATAAGAGGCGACTTAGAGAATATTTTCTGATATGTTTCTCCCTTGGCAATCAAGAAAAGAAATCACCATCTAACGCATTAGGAGGAAGTTAGCGAGGAGGCGTCGGAAAATTAAAACGTCTTATATTCCTTTTCCTTTATTTGCGGAATATTAACTGTAGTTAATTTTTATTTCAGAATTTTTTTCCTCCCTTCTCCCTCTTCCGTTAAATTGCCCGGGAAACCTCATTTACGCGTCAAGTTGGCGAAGTATTCACAAAGTCGACATTTAAAATCTTCTATTTAATGAGCTATTTAACGCGTTTCGCCCCAGACTAACAAGTTTCAAGTACTTTTTATTCATTTTATAGCATTCCAGGAAATAACTTCTTAAATAATTTTTTTTACCCATTCAAACTAAGCGGAGAAAAAGAAGAGTTTAAATATTAAGAATTCTTTAGCGCATGCATATAGCTATATTTTTCGTAATGTCATTTCATAAAAGGAGCATTTATCTTCAAGATTTAATGATAAAAATAATTCGTGAAGTTTTTTTCATACTAAGCATCGATGCAAGTTCCCGAAATTAGTTGAAGGCAACCGTTATAAATGATAAAAACGTTGCCTTACGACTGTGATGACTATTACCTTAGAAATACATAGCAGCGGAAATTACGCTAATTTTGCTTGGGAAATTGATAAGAAACGCAATCAGATCAATATTGAAGGACGTGATTCATACTTTCGCTACGTGACGCCTGTCCTCTCAATAAACTCCTTGCCATACTACCAAAGCAAACTACATAAAATGTACCTACTATTAATATAATGGAAAGTAATATATTATATGGGAAAGAATATCTAATTATATGGGAAAGAATATCAAATCAAACTGTCAACAAGGTTCTGTTTTAATGACTGGAAAGTCAATTAACATCCATATGTACAGCACTGTCGAAACAAAAGACGCTCCACATTAATGGACAATTCCTGAATGCCTGGATCCTTGAAGCAGGAGACTTATGCACTCCTATTTAACGGACATTCCCTGATAACGGTGGTTTGATTAAATGCCGCTAATGGGATTGTAATAATAATAATGATGATGCCATTGCATTGTAATAATTAACTATACTTTAACAGTATGATATTTTTGCTTCACATACTGAATCTAAGTACTGACATTGTAGAGTCATTAGGATTTTTTTGTAAGCAGAGGAAATGAAAAATGAGCAACATTTTTGCCGGGACTCGAACCACGGGTCTCTCGAATACGCGTCGAGTGTGCTGACCACTACACCACGAAGACATGCTAAGAAGACAAGAGAAATACCTTATAAAATAAACGAAGATAATTATTTTAATTAATTTGTTGGACCTAGTCTTCTTTGTTAATATATACTGTAACTACATCTACTTAAAAGTCTAAGTTGCGACTTTTCTCAAAGACTTAAAGATGGAGGGGGAGGGGTGTAAAAGACTTTTATTGAACACAATATTTTACAGACGGCACGGACTTACACAGTCACCAGCTACTTGCGCTGAGGAACTTTAAAAGATAATGTAACAGGTAAATTCAAAGGTAAATAGTAGTGCTAAACTACACAATTCGACTTAACCTAGCAGGTTGACTCAAAAACCGATATCGGCAAGATAATAATTTCGCGCCAAAAATGCAAAGTCCGGATTCAAAGTTCAACAGCTGGTAAAATTAACAACGTGCGCTCTCAATAGCGAAACCATGCTTTGTTGAAATACACTCTAGTTTACCCTAACTGATTTACAGACTGGCAAGGGAACGGGAGGGAAATCAGAAAAGACAGAAACTGCTAACAAATTAAAATAACTATTTGTAAGAAATATAGAACTCTACTACAAATTTAGCAATTAAAATAAATAAGATAGGAGTTTAAATCGTCGTCCCCATCGTGAAAAAGCAAGTGTTGCTGTCTATTTTATAAAGTTACAAAAATTTACAATATTAAGTGTTAATCAATATTATATTGTTCGGTGATTTTTTTTCCATCATAAAATCATTTCGATGCTTGTTAAGATTATTTTACTTCAATCAAAAAATCATTTCTAGGTAATTACAAAATCATTTCGATCCTATTAGGAAATGAATTGAAATAATTATAACAATATTTTTAAACTCTAAAACAAATTCATCTTTTACATACGCCAATTTCTTTTTAATCAATATATGGACACATGGAAAGCTTGTTATAAAATATAACGGTAACCGTCCCAACTAACAAA